CAGTCTAATGGGTGAAAGCGCTGGTTGCTCTGGGTTCCTCATGTGTGAACCGGCTGTTATGTCTTTTGCCAGGTTTACTTTTAGGCTTTCTCAGAGTGGACGAGGATATTGTATGAGCCAACTTTCCTGTCACTGGAACACAAAACCTCACACCAACCCTCGGGTGAAGTGAGGTTTAACCTGGCTCATGGTTTAAAATGTACTTGGCTGACTCCAAAAAAGAAACATCACAGAAGAAGGGCAATATATTTTAGTGACTTGTTGCACTGGATTCTATTCACAGTCAAGAATAATAGTGTATTATATATTTCAAAATTGCCAAATGATTCTTAATGTTCCCACCACAAAACTTGATACCAGGGTGAGGTGAAAAGTATGTGACTGAGTTTAATTGGAACTTACTGCAATGTATACATAGAGCAAAACTCCATACTGAACACCCGGAATATACAATCATTATTTTTCTATTAAAGATGAATCAGTAAGTAATCCATGAATTCCTCCTAACTTCATGTTACTGAAGTAGCAAACAGGTGGTCCAGAGCAATCAAATTCGGTTTGCGGCACTGACTGCAAGGGGAAGGGCCAACGGAAATGGTTTACCAGCTGGTCTTGCAGACCTAGCACTGTCCTGTTTGAGGCGTTCCAGTCAGTCTTGCACGATATTCGCTTATGGAGAACACAGTGTCGTTTTTTGATCGGTTTTATATGAAATAGTGGAATTGAATTACAAGGTCAGGACTTTTCATTGGAGAACTTATTGGTTTATTGAATTGCACTCAAGATTGCAGTGTTTAAATCAGCAAAAAAGGTCTTGCTCCTGAGATGAATTCTGAGATGAATCTAGGGAATCTGGTGGCCAACTCTCTCCATTTGAGGACATCAGCATGTCCAGTTAGAAGCTTGGCAAGCTAAAGGGCAGATCCCAATTTATGCTAACAAACTGTGTAGACTGACTCTATGCATCTTCCTGGAAGCATCTATTTGCACAAAACCAGTAGCAATCTGAGAGACTTTGGAGCTGCAAAACTCAGTTTTTTTCATTTTTCCTTGCAGCACCCACCAGGTCAGAGCTCACCCAGACGGCATTTTTGGGTCAATCAGTGACGTTGCCTTGTTTGTACTCATCCTGGTCTCCAAGCAGCAACAGCATGTGCTGGGGAAGAGGCGAGTGTCCCAATTCCAAATGCAACGAGGAGCTTATCCACACAGATGGAACTAAAGTGACCTCGCGGATGTCAGGACGATATAGACTTTGGGGGAATATCCAGAGGGGCGATGTCTCCTTGACCATCTTAAACACCCAGGAAGGGGACAGCGGGGTGTACTGCTGCCGCATAGAGGTGCCTGGCTGGTTCAATGATGTGAAGAGGAACATTCAACTGGTGCTGAGGAGAGGTGAGCAAATGGGACTCAGGTCTGGCGAAGGAGGAATTCACCAGTGGATGGGTAATGGATTCACTGGGAAGTGCTGAGGAGGTTGAACTTGCTTAAGCAAGGAGTGGAAATGATGCTCCATGGCAGAGAGCAGGCAGGGACATCGCCCATCAGAGCTGAGACAGACACAGAGGACATGGGATTTGGAGATAATCTTAGCAGTTGCCAGGGTTTTTCCTTCTGTTCCTCTCAGTTGTTTTTGATAAAATTTGGAATGTAATGGGAGTCCTAGAGATCTGAGCTGCATAGAATGAGCTGCACTGAGCCTGGGGTTGAATTATCTTAATGATAACCACAGTTCATGCTTGTCTTAATTGAATTTCCCACTCCTGAGCTCTGCTCCCAATAGACCAGTGCTTTGGAGAGCAGGGTCTCCATAGCTATATTTGTTAGGCTTTGCCAGTTTTCTAATACTCACTAAAATTGGGGACCAGTGGATGTGAACGCTTTTCATTAGAGAATTTTCTTATACATTAGTGTAATTAGAATCTTTTCCTCTTAAAACAACTACATGATCTAGAAGATATTATTCTGATTTGGCATAAGAGGACAATGACATTTATTGAAGGTAAATGACTCTAATTCCAGTATTTTCTTACCTGCTATAACTATCATTTTCTAATATACTTGTTAACCTCAGTATTCTACAGGGTCTTTTCCAAGTTCTATTGGAACAAGTGATGCCTTTCTATCTCATTGAAGTCTATGGGAATTTTGCATATCCTAGAAATAGTGAGATCCATAGAATAAATTGTGGGTAATAAACACAAAGGTAGATGTTGTTGGATTAATTGATGTTGACATGAATGGATCTTTGATATCAGAAGGAGACTGCATTCTCACTGTTGTCTGCCTATTACTTGCAGACACTCTTATGTGTATTGTATTCACAGCAGGGAACAAAATAAATATATTACCTGATATTTCTAATGGTGCTTACAGCTAGTAGAAGAAGGAGACCTTAAAGAATAACAATTAAGGGAAATATACGGTTATGAAATACAGCAAATGCTGTGATGGTAAAGTAAAAGAACACATGACAGACATTCCTGTTATTGTAGAACGCAGATATCCTTTTTGCAGAAGTGCCGTTGTAGCTGAACTCCAAAGGGTAAGGCATCATCAGCCTAGTGAATAAGAAGGAGCACAAATAGGACACCAAATGCCTATACCTGGAAGGACATTGGTGTGTTCAAAGAGCTGAAGAAACACCAGTTGTCTGAGACAAGTGAGAAGGAGAGAGTGATGACATGTGATTGGAAGCAAAGGAAGGATCAAGACAGGTGGTGCTTTTTAGGCCAAAGGGCTGGATTCTTAATCTTACAGGTAAGGAGGACCCCGTAGAAATTTTAAGCAGAGAAGTGGCACAAGTAGATTAGTAATTTTAAAAGATTACTCAAGCCATTTAAGTAGAATAGGTTGGTGGAGACAAAGAAGGCCAGTGGACCAGGTTAAAGAACCAGAATTGGAGAAAAATGGGCAAATCTCAGGTCTCTTTCTCCATCCTCTCTTGGTTACAGCCCCAACAACTACACGGCAAACAACAACCTCCCACCAAACTACCACCCCTGATTTGCTGACAACCACAGCTGTGCTGCCAACAGCAGGCATAACTACAGCAACCTCCAACCCAACCACCAGCCCTCACATGGCTACAACCGCAGCTGTGCTGCCAACAACGCTTGAGACTACAACAACCTCCCACCCAACCACCACCCCTCACATGGCTACAACCGCAGCTGTGCTGCCGTCGACCTTCGTGGCTGCACGGGAGCTCACAGCCAGAACCCCACTTCAGACAAAGGCCACCTCTGTCTTCACAACAACAGCAGCCATGTGCCCCCAGACAAGGCCGAGCTCTGGGCCCGAGATAGCACCGGAGCCTTCCATGGAAGGGCCCATCTCAGGGACAGGTACGTGGCAGAGATGGCTGTTTTTCCCTTCTGCTGGGCACGTGTACCTTGTTTTCCTTGGAAGACAGTCCTCCCACTGCAAGCGACAGTCCAGTGATGTGCTCTTGGTTCGTGTGTGTGTGTGTGTGTGTGTGTGTGTGTGTGTGTGTGTGTGTGTATTTGTGGGCCTTCCATAACAAATTCCACAGACTGTGTGGCTTAAACAACTGAAATTTATTTTCTCATAATTCTGGGTGTTAGAAGTCCAAGGTTAAGGTGTCAGCAGCTTTGGTTTCTTCTACGTCTTCTTTCCATGGTTTGTAGACAGCTGTTTTATCACTACATCTTCATGTGGTCCCCTATGACTGTCCTTCTGTGTCCTAATCTGATTTTAGGATACCAGCCATACTGGGTTAGTGTCTACCCATACACCCTCATTTTGCCTTACACTCCTCTTTAAAAGCCCTATCTAGAGTACAGTCATATTTAGAGGTACTGAGGGTTGGCATTTCAACAGATGAATTTTGGAGGGATACAGTGCAGCCCACAGTACTGGGCAGGTGTACATGTGTGTGTGTATGTGTGTGTGTGTGTGTGTGTGTGTGTGTGTGTGTAAAGATGTGATTTTGCTACATTGCTTCTTTTATTTTATTGCTTCTTTTTAAATTTGTGTGTGTGTGTTTCTGAGAAGTCAGACTTTGGGTTCTCTAGTTGATTCGCTGGAGTGTTGCCAGAGTTGTTTATTAAAGAACTAGGCCATGTTATTCTGGGTCAGACCCCAGCTCTCTCCTTTCTGGGATCAAGTCTTTGTCTAAATTAGAGATTGCTGAAGACAGCTCTCCGGATGGCTTCAGACATCCCTATGCTGAAATGGTTCTGTTCTATTTCTTTGTTTCCTTCTCTCTCTATCTCTTTTTTCTGCTTTTGAGTTTTCTTGGCCCTGCATTTTACACCTCTCACGTGATTAGTTTCATGGCTGATGTCTGTGTGTTGTGAAGAGTTCCAACATGTTTCAGTCTCTGATTCTGAGGTTGGAATATTGGAAAACAGTAACGAGAAGGTTAAAGGGTTTTCTAGGCATTTCAGCTGCTCAATAACACCTGGACAGTTCACGAAGCTGTAGAATATTGAGTAGTATAACTCTGTTGCACTTGGAGTTGTCATCAAAATCCAGGACCTCTACATTAACCAAGTTTTGTACTTTTAAAAAATTGCTACATACTATTAAACAACCATTTCAGAACACAATTTTTTTCTAAATATTCCTGCAATCTTTAAAAACTGGAAACATTCAAAGACACACAATGACTACAAAAATAGCTCGGAATCCCACTACACATACAACTATTAATGCAGGCATTTTCAGGTGCTTTTGTCAACAATTTTTCTCTTCCAGAATCAGGAACTTTTCTTCTCTCCAGTGACTCCCTGAGAAGCACCGAGGCGACTTCTGCAGACAGCAGCCTGCTCACTTCTGAAGGTGTGAGGACACGTGCTCTGTCTTCCTCGTGTTTTGCCCCAGGGAGAAGCAATCATGCGATCGTGACTCAGAGGAGTAGACACGATCTTGAGTCCTTTGAGTCATGAAACCCACCTGGGGCAAAATGATACCGGGGCTGCTGTTGTGGTTTCTCCCTTGCTGTGGCTCTTGGCGAGGGACGAGGGAGAGCTTGATTCTCACACGCACATCTCTGTGGTGGCTCCCTGCATCTCTGGCATATTTGCTATTACAATGGAGTCTAGCAATATCACCCTAATTCCAAGCCCATTGATTTTCTTTGTAGAAACCCAGTAAGTCTGTTTTCTCTTTTCCTTTTGTTTTTTCGAAGGATCCAAAGCCTGGGTTCGCTCATCAGCACCCCACATGACAAGGAAGGTGCGGAAAGCGGGTAAGTAACGCTGTGCCTTTTCCTCCAGGAGGCAAAGGAGCTGCGTTCTTGTGCATGGCTTACTTTGTGTGGGGAACAAGCTCACCCAGGCCTGCCCATCTTGGGATTCAGTCGTGTGGGCTGCACTGTGGTCCTATCCCACTTCCTCCCGCAAGGAGGGATGAAAGGGAAATTCACTGCAGGCATCAGGGGTGGCTTCTGCCCTCCTTTGCTCGTTTCCCAAGCCCCTGTACCAAGATCTCCGTTCTTCCTTAGCAACTTATGCGTAGAAGCTGAGAACAGTGGTAGATAAAGCAACTATTCATTCTTCAAGGTCATACTTTCTTACTTTAAGTCACACAGTCCTTACACTAATGTGCTTTAGTTAGGGGCACATAAGTACTGAAATAAACTTCTCTGTGAAACCCTGTCCCCAGTCCCAGAACTCTACTTTGAGGTAGTCACTGCTATGAGTTAAAGACTCTCAGACTACTCTGGATCTTCTTTCTATCTGCTTATGTGTGTTTATGGAACAGAAATATATTTTTATGGGTTGTGTATTTTTAAAAGTCATCAGCACCCATATGCAGCTTCATCTGTATTTGGCTTTATGCACTTAGTGTTATATGTTGGACTACTTTCTTTTCCAGTTGATGTAGAGATCTGCATCACCGTGTTAATTTGCTGTACGGTATTCCATAGCATGTGTTCTCACAGTATCTATTTACAGTTGAATGGTGTATAGCACTTAGTTTTTCACTAATATAAATAGTGTTGCTGTAAACACCCTCGAATATGTGTGCTTCCATAAGCATTTATGCAAATCTTTTTGTAGATAAGTTGGCGGCCAAGAAGTAGAAGTTCTAGGTTGAAAAACGTGCACTTTTATACTTAACAGATATTCCAAAATTGTTCAAGGGTAATATTGTGCTACTTGATGTTCCCTCCCCCAGAATATCTCCTTTCCCATATCCTCCCTACACTTGATATGACCATGTGTTTAATTTTCAGTCTCCTGACAAGAACGTGTCATCTTGTTCTTCTGTCTGATTAACAGAAGGTGTGGGCACATGTCTGCATGTTTACTAGCCAGAAAGCAGCTGTCCTTTAATTCTGCCTGGGAGGCAGTGTAAGATCACTCACACAGGCTCAGAACACAGGCGTGGAGGGACAGGCAGGGTACGTGGAAGGGGAGTAGGTTTTGAAGTAAGACTATAAATCAAGATGAAGCGCAAGGGTGATTGGATGTTGAAAAGCTTTGGCTTGTACGAACTCACACAGCGGGAACACAGAGACCTGGAATAGGATTTAACAGCTGAAGGGAAACTGGGTGCCGGGATTCAAACCTCCTTTGCTCATAGGATGGGGTACAAAAGAGAAAGACAGTGGAGAGTGGGGAGGGTGTGACAAAACTGTTATTCTCCATTCCATCTAAATCCTGGATTATTGCCCACTGAACTGTGAGGAGATGAGACATCACCTGTTGTCTTCCTGTCCTCTACACTACCCCTGGTAAGTTTCATTTCACTCCTGGTGTCCAAGTCCCAGGAGAGAGAATGCTTGCTGCAGGAGCCATGGGCTGTGCTGCTGAAGAAGTGCTTGCTATGAGACAGCCAGCCAGGCTCCAAGGCACATTTAGTCCTTATGGGAGAAACGAGTTTTATTGAATCCATATAAGATATGAACAGAAAATGTGCTAAATGGTTAAATTAAAAATATTATTACAGTAAAAGACAAAATACTGCCCCTCACTTCAAACACACTTGTGTCAACATTGCTGCCTCTTTCTGAAGCAGCTCTGGAAGTACTCTTTCCTGAGTGAGAGTCTGTAGTCATACCATTGTGGCTGCCTTGCTGTCCTGAATCCATTCAAAACATTTACTTTTGATGGTCATTTTGACTTTGGGGAAGAGCTAGAATTCATGTGATGCCATACTCCATGAATAAGGTGGATGAACATGCACTGTAATGTTTTTATTTGACAGAAATTGCCTTGCTTATGTTGAACTGATTCAGGACATCAAAGCAGCTACAATAGCACAAGTATAGATGCTCAGGCAACAGGATTTCTGGAACTGCTTCAGAAAGTGACAAGAAGAATGGGACAGGCATGGCTTTAACCAGGGAGGATATTTTCAGGAATATTAATGACAATGTATTTTTTGTTATAATAATTTTTTTTTAAATTTGAAGATATGGGTCTGATTTATTTCCCTTATGAGTATGGTCTCTAATTGCATCCATTTACCTGTAAAAGCCTCAAGTTTATCATTATTTATAGCTGAGTAATACTCCATTATATAAAAATACCACATCTTTTTGTCCACTCCTCAGTTTATGGGCATTTGGGTTGTTTCCAAGATTTAGCTAAGACAAGTGGTACTGCTATAAACATGGGTGCACATATATCACTGTGGTATGTTTTCATTTCTTCTGGAAAAATAGCCAGAAGTTGAATACCTGAGTCTTATAGAATCTGTAATCTTAGTTTTTTTGGGAATCTCCACCCTGATTTCCACAGTGATTGCACCTTGAAAGGAACAGTTAATGTTTAATTTTTTACCAATTTTGCATGCCTATATCTGGTAATCTGAACAACCACTTTGAAGGTAAAGGGATGCAATATAGCAACCATTGTTGATTTCCTATCATCTTGTTTTGAAATTCTGTATCATTTTTAATTTTTTTATTCTCTTTAATATAAAAAATCAAACATTTACTGTACTTTTCATTCACACCTTATAGTATGTGCTGGGTCATGAGCCATATCATTTAATATCTCTTTGGCAGATGTTCATGGCCCTATTTTACCTAAATTTCCCAAGGCCACAGCTCTCAAACGACAGATCCAGACAATCTAGCTCTCACTGCATGTTCTTAGATATTGCTTTATTTTACCTGGCCTTCCAGACTGAAATAAAAAGCTTTTATCATTGATCATCCCACTTTTTGTTGAAGTAAAACATCCACAATAATAACGGCTATTCCTACCTAGTGAGGACCCAACTGTGTATTAGGCACTGCTTCGAGAGTTTTAACATCCATTTTCATCTCAATGACCTTCTAGACAGGGGCAGATATTATTTCTACTTTACAGGTAAAGAAATGGAGGGTCCTAGTTTTTACTAGGGAAGCTAATGTCACGATCTTTCTTTCTTTTTTTTTGTTTGTTTTCCGGTGCTAGGAATTGAACTCACGACCTTGCACTTGCCAGGCAAGCACTGTGCCACTTAGCTAAATCCCTAGCCCCCCATGGTCTTTCTTTATTGATCTGCATTTTGTATGCATTATCTGTTTGTATTTTTTCACTAAGTCTCGGCTAAGCTAGGAGATCTGCAGCCCCAGAAATTTCTCCAATGTGGTCCAGGGAGGGGCCTGGTTCTCAGAAATGACTCTGGGTCATAGGGTGTTGGGACACTTGCTTCCAAGTCAATGAAATTAGAAACACAAGTCTCCTGGGAAGGATCTTCCACCTGTATTTGGGGGATACTGGACCCTCTGATGATTGTCAGGGTGGGTAAGGAGGAGAGAAGTAGCATTTGGAATTGGGTATCATTGCTCTCTGGCTTAGTACCAATAATTATCATGTGGAGAGCCTTTGTAGTCCTAAGATATGGGACCTCTCACACCTCCAGTTCCTTTTTCAGTAGTTCTGTACAAGTTTACTTACTGCATAGAATGATTTGGAAGCTCAATGAGTCAATGTTGTTGCTTTGTTAATTTTATGTTTTATAAAACAAATTCATGTTGTTGTAGTGAATACTGAATTTACATTTATATCTCATGTGTATGGGGCAATGATGTGGCAGTTGAGGGAAAGACATGATTTTTCGTCATGGCTGAGGATTATTTTGTAAAGTAAAGATGCACTGACTTGGGTATTTAACCAAGTGTTACATTTTTTAAAGCTTTGAAGGATTTTTTTCTTATGTTTTTAGTACATGTTTGCAGTACATAGTGATACAAAACTATGGGGAGTTGGTTCATGTACTTATCACATCTTAATTCTTTTTTTCCCTTCCCCTCCCTTTCCCCTCTCCCTCCATCTCCCGGTCCTCTTCCCTTTTACAAAAGTATCTGTCTCACTGTTTCCGACTACCTACATTTGATTTTGTTATGTCTGCCTTATTTAAGTGAGAGGTGCTAGAATCCCACCGTGCTTTGTAAAACAGTTCACATGCTCCTCAATTTTCTCTCTACTCTGTTCCTTTATTTTTTTATTTTAAAGATAAAAGATCAAAAACGTCGTAACAAACACACATACATTTAGAAAATAATACAAAAACAATACAAGCAATACAGAATCTCAGACAAGGTGATAGGAAATTAACAATGGTTGTATTTCATATTGATATCTTCAATTTGGATACTCAGATAAACAAATATAGGCATGTAAGATTGATCCTACACTTAAACATTAACTGTTCCTTTCAACAGAGCTACAAAAGTCAGTAGTACCACTATGTTAGTTATTCTCTGTGTGTGTGTGTGTGTGTGTGTGTGTGTGTATATATATATATATATATATATATATATATGTCCCCTTCTTTTTTTTTCTCTTTTCCCTCATCCCAGTTGTTCTTTCCTTTTGATCAGTTTCCTTCCCTTTCACAATGTCTATTGTACCTCCTAGATTTTATTCACTCTTTCAGATTCTTACACTAGTGAGATAACATAGTGTTTACACATGCAGGTCTGATTTATTTCACTTATAAGTATAGTCTCTAGTTGTGTCCATTTCCCTATAAAAGCCTCAAGATTTTCTTTATAGCTGGCAAAAAAGGACAGAGTCTTCCTTTATTTTTTGATATGGGTCTCACTCCATAATTCAGACCAACCTCACACCTGTGATGCTCCTGCCTCAGCCTCTCCAGGGCTCAGAAGTATGCACTATTGTGCCTGGGTCTTCTTTCATGATTAAATACACAGACCTCACCCAAATTTGCCTTGGGAACTAAGGAACTTCTGACACATGTATGTTATTTCCTGTGCATTTATTCATTTAAGCAAGCTGGGCTGTT